AAAAGTTGATCTCACGACCCTCCCCAAAAAAAAAAAAAAAAAAACCCCCCCCCCCCCCCACACACACACACACACCTCCTAATAGACTGCATTCATCAAGTCGAACTTCCTTCCAACTGCTGGAATCGTTTGAGTGTTTTGAGTTGGACCCCATCCAGCTGACACGCACTGCAGCTGCTTAGGGAACACCCGTATAGAATGCAATACACAGCACCCTGCCCTGCTGCACACCAGGCATAAAACCTAAGTAGAATTATTATTTTTTCGACTGTCGCACATAATAATACAAGCCCGCACCATATTTGCCTTACCTGTGTACCAACACCCAGCTTCGTAACCAACGGCAGTGTTTTGTTGACCGATTAATCTTCGGTGTTACGTATACCCCGCCAACTAACGTCTCAGAGGAGTTTGCATGCTGGTTAAAAAGCAAGCAGGGACTCAGCCCCAGTTACAGTTCTCTGATCCAGTCCGCCCATTTGTGGGTTATGAAGGACCTCCTCTCGCAGATCACATTTCACTTTGTGATGTAAGAGGAAGTACATGCTCACCGTCTCCTATTGAAACCAGTCGGAGCCGCTCTGATAATAAATTACGGATATGACTTGACAGGGTGTAAACATAACTCCATTGAAGCAATAAGTACAAAAAGTATGCATTCCCAGGGGCTTTTTCATGGGGTATTAGAAACTATGAGTTCTCAATTTATAGACTGCATTCCATGCAGAGAATTTAGATCAGCCTTCACAAGAAGGCGTGTTCAATTTATGACCTTAAAGTGTCCCCCTGCAACCCCCCCCCCACACACACACACACAAAGTATGTACTGGATTTATGACTTTAATACTACATTATTGTAGGTTAGTGGAACGTTTTGACTCAAAATTGAGTTAAATGTCCCTCGCTGCCATCGAAACAGAGCTCCGTCATAAATCAAGGACTCGCTGTACATTTTAATATGGTTTGAAAACAGGGTTGGGCAACTTAAATGGTGGAATGGTCGCACACATTTTTTTCATCAGCGCTGATGGTGGGTGGCACTTCCTAATCAGATGTATGACAAAAATGACATTTTGAATGTGGGCGAAATACATGTCAAAATATGGCTGTTTGGATAGAATCAATGACTACCAGAGCATCTTTAATACATTTCATGTTCAATGCATGTTTCAGAGATCCAGCCTTCCGCAACAAAGGCTTTGAACAATCAAGAATTTTTTTTTCAACATTAAGTACAAGAACTTACTTTGTGCAATGTATTTATTTATTTATTTTAACACCAAAATGATCTCTGTCAAATATTTACAGTATTCAGGGACTATGTTTGTCGTGCATGTCGTTCCAAATTTCCAACAAGATTATTAAGCCTGTACTCGCTGTCATACTGGCCAGTAGTGTAAATGCAACTAAGTGATGTGTGCCGTCTAGTGACAGATGGTGGTATTACAACTTAAAGCTATATCATGGACCCCAGCTCCCATACCACCTAAAATAAACCCCCAAAAAAACCCAAATGATTAAAAAAAAAAAAATCACAGTTTTACTTGTTAATGTTGAAACGTGAAAGGTGTTTTACTTTTCGAATATATAGTGGGGGAAAAGAACACACCTTTTGATACTTGCTGAAATGATCTCCAGTGACGATACGCTGATTCCTCGCGTGACACGACGGCGATTGAAGCGCTGTGTCACTTGTGAGACATTCACCTGGTAAAACTGTTCGTTAAAAACTGTATTGTAGGACTCCAGGAATTTTCATCTTTCGGGCTTCTACCCCAAATGAATTGAATATATGTAAAATCTCATAGGTTAACCTTCAACAGCCTCATCATGTCTCATAAACCAAATCGAACTCTTGTGACCAGTCTGCTGCTCCGTTTAGAGTCGTAATCCGCTTGGCGTAGTCACTTGATTGTAATCTGCTTGCCTGGAAGTGTGTGTGTGAGTGTGACAGGCAACGTTTTCTCCGAATCGGTTTCATTTGAATTCATTTTACCCTCGGGGTTTTTTTTTTTTTTTTTCCCACCCAACAAGCTGTGCCATGTACTGAGATAAGAAAACTTGCCAATTGTTTTTTTTTTTCTTGGGGGGGCGGTTCTCTTTTTGTTGTAAAAACACTCAAATGTGTGCTACTGACAATGCATATTTTATACCAAAATAATCGTTTTCAGTCAAACAATCTTGCTGACCATCTGCATCCTCTTCGCGTGTTTTTTTCCTCTCATTCTGTTTTGTTTTAAGAACCATTTTCACGATGTTCGTGCAGATGCAATGAATCTTAGCAGACGTGTGTGGATTTCTGCCTGATTTTGACATTTCAAACGTGAACTCTTTTAGTATATTTGTAATATACTTTTAACATCGAAGTGTCCATTTGGGCCAGTTGAAACCCATGAAAAGTACATTTTTATTATTGACTGGATTGAATCACACAATTTAGAAACATTGGGTTTCATTCTCAACATTCAATTTGAATTCTTTTGCTTTTTCTACCAGGCAAGATGTATCGTTTTTGCGTGCAAAAATAAGCAAATTCATGTCTGCTGAGTGCCGACCATTGAGAAGAATTACATTTTAATTTGTGAAAGTGGAAGCCTTGTATGCTGGCTGTAGAAAGACTACTCGTAGCGGTATATTTAAAAAAGCAATTCTCACTCTTAGCTTTGTATTTTACAAGGTCGTGCATGTGCACACTTAGTTACACACACAATCCGACCAGCAGATGGCACCAGACGCTCATTACGGTAGTATTCTAAAAGTTTCTGCCTTTACAAAGAGAAATAATTGACAGCCAGTGAATGATCAAATTACTTGTTATTCATTTTTTTGGGAGGGGGTTGTAGAAATGTACTTTTTAATTTTGCCACCAATAATGTAGAAATAGCTCTCGGCATGATGCAACGCCATTCAAACGTCCTCACCCTGCCGCCCCCATTGAGATGAAACGACATCTGATTTATTCATGTGACATCGAGGAAGAATTGGGAATGCCTTGAATGAACTTCAGAGGCCGTAACCTTTTTAGCGATGGGAGCAGGAGGTGCGGGGAGGGTGACAGAACGGTGACATTTGAGCTGGGGAGTGGCCCAAAACAGGTAATGAGGTCTCGCTGCGAGGAAAACACCCTTTTTGACCTTTTTTGTGTTTGATTTTTTTTTTCTTCACTCAATGCGAGCAGTGCATTTGTCTATGCTGTCAGTTATTGTGCTATTTGACGTGGTGTGAATGTGAACATGCAGCACTGCAAAAATGGAAAATTTGATTGGGGTGGGGATGGTTGAATGCACAAAACAAACTCACAGAAACGCATATTTCAGTCTAACGTGTTAGAAGCCGGGTGGCCCGGCGGTCGAGTGGTTAGCACGTCGACTTCACAGGGCAGAGGTCGTGGGGTCGATACCGGCTCCGGCCTTCCTGTGTGGAGTTTGCATGTACTCCTTGGGCCTGCGTGGGTTTTCTCCAGGTGCTCCGGTTTCCTCCCACATTCTAAAAACAAGCATGGAAGGCTGATTGAACCCTCGAAATTGTCCCTCGGTGTGAGTGCGGATGGTTGTTCGCTTGTGTGTGCCCTGCGATTGGCTGGCAACCAATTCTGGCTGTGCCAGCTGACTTGGAGCCATTTTACTGGATTTTGACTGATTTGCACGGCCCACACATTATCGTGTCCTATCGCGAATTCTGCAAATGTGACAGTCTTGTTAATAACAGACTTCTTTGGTGCGTCAAATGTAAATGAGAGTTAATTGAATTACAGGGGTTGTAAATATATTACATGGACGGATTATCGATTATTATGATCATTTTAATGTGCGAGCCTCCCACCCCAATCCCGAGGGAGGGGTTGAAGTGTACGTGATTTAAGTGGCCGCATCAGGACCCCGCACTTGTGGTCTATCCGAAGCTTCGCGTGAGCATCCTCCAGCAGGAATGTCCTCCAGCTCCGACCCGAACGGCTCCGCGTCCAGCCGAAGCCCCCCGGCTAACCAGTTCGTGCAGCCGGCGTGGCGAGTGGCTCTGTGGGCCCTGGCTTACTGCGCCGTCCTCGGCGTGGCTCTGCTGGGCAACGCGGTGGTCATCTGGATCATCTTGGCGCACAAGCGGATGAGGACCGTCACCAACTGTTTCCTGCTCAACTTGGCGGTGTGCGACGCGTCCACGGCCGCGTTCAACACGCTCGTCAACTTCATCTACGCAGCCCACGGAGAGTGGTACTTCGGGGCGCTCTATTGCACGTTCCACAACTTGTTCCCGGTCACGGCGGTGTTCGCCAGCATTTACACCATGACCGCCATTGCTCTTGACAGGTACAGCACATAGACGGCACCCGACACGATCACGCGCTTTCAGGTGGAGGCAACGTTTTACGTTTTTGAAATTACATTAGATTGTACTGTACTGTATTATTGTTGTTGTTATTTTTAACCATTTTATTGTAAAAATTACATCCTCATTTTGGGGAGGGTGGGGTGGGGGGCTAAAACACTCATGCTAGTCAGAACAACGTGACAATATAAATAATTGACATTTATAGCAACAATGTTAGCACAACAAAGCAAGCAAGTTGTTTGCTGCAAAACAATTTGCTGGCATGTTTTGACTCATATTTTTAAGTTGGGGTACAATACAAGGGCCAATTAGTTCTGTAAACTCTTATTTCTTTTTTGTCAAATGCAGGAAAGCCAAAGCAGCCAAAGTATGTTGTTGAAGTGCCCCACTTAAAAATTATCAGTTTGTTGCCTTAAAATTACGAGTTAACCGAAGAAGCGTGTATTTGGATTGTGGAAATAACGCACGACGCAAGGAGAATAATGCTGGCGTCATGCACAATTTTCTTGTCTCCAAAACCATCACTTTTCACAAAAAAGTACATTATCGATGTTTGTTGAGCTGTTAACGTTGCATAATCAAAGAGAGCCAGCCACTTTCGATTATCGTTTATAAAAATAAAAACAACAACAACAAAAAAACAGTATTGTAGATTCATGGAAAAAAACATGAAATTTGAATGTGGTCCATGCAAGAGACCAAATTCTAAACCGCAACTTCCTGTGGACTGATCAGTAGTGTAGATTCATGGAAAAAAAAACATGAAATTTGAATGTAGTCCATGCAAGAGACCAAATTCTAAACCGCAACTTCTGAAATTATAATACTTTATTACTACTTTTTTTTTTTGCTTCAAATGTATACTTGCTCTAAATGTGACATGGTATTGTTATTTAGTTTGATGAAATCCCATTTCAATTAAACCCATAGAAATCCAGTAGTGTCCCTCAAGGTGGAATCTAAATCAAATGACCCTGGCCTTATGTAACAGCTTATACTGTACCTTTTCCAGGTTCAAAAATGTGCATGTATTTTTCTAAACCTGAAAGGGAAAAATCCTAGAGGATCAACTCAGACATATGAGTGGAGTAAATTAATTCGTTTCTGCTTGTGAATGCAGGTACATGGCCATCATCCATCCTCTAAAGCCTCGCCTGTCCGCCAAAGCCACACTGGCTGTGATCGCGACCATCTGGAGTCTGGCCGTCATCTTGGCCTTCCCCCTCGGGTACTTTTCCACAATTCGAGCCTTGCCCCGCAGGACGCTGTGCTACGTAGCCTGGCCCCGCATGGCAGACGATCCCTTCATGTGAGCCAAAGAGCAACGAGCTTCCTGCATTATTCTTTTCGCTGTTGGCGTAAATAATAACGTCTAACATTGTGTGTTTGTGTCTGCCCTTGCAGGTATCACATCATCGTGACTGTCCTGGTCTATGTGGTGCCCTTACTGGTGATGGCCATCACTTACTCCATCATCGGTGTAACCCTTTGGGGAGGTGAAATCCCAGGAGACACATCGGATAACTATCATGGACAGCTGCGGGCAAAAAGGAAGGTACAGTAAATGTATTAGCAACTCCTATTCCATTGCTTTGTATTCTGACCAGAAAAAAAAAAAAAAAATCTGTTCGGCATTTTTATTCACTGACCAAACATTAATTAATGCTCCACAACGTTTCATGGAAGAACTTGAAGGTGATCAAAATAATATAAAGTGCAAATAGTCCGCACTCCATTTAATATGCCAGGTTTTTGTGATATAAAAAAGGGAGACCAAGCTAAATCATTTCAAAACTTTGCACAATGGGAATCGACACACAAATGCCACTATTTAAAGTGCCTCTGATTCATGACGTTCAGCTGTTCTAACGGCCTTTTCCTGACAATGTGGAACATTTATTTACAGTTACACTAAATCGCAGCTGGTGCTGCCGCAAAATCTTCTGGTCTCTGTTGAAGGCAAAAACAAAATGTCAAGAAAAGCCGACTTGAATATCTGTATATACTAGGTAACTACCAAGTCTTCTGATGAGGCACTTTTTGGGAGATCTCTCCGGTACAGAAGATCTCGATTATTTTATTCCCTTTAGTATCAGTCAAAATAGAAAAATGTGAACACAAATGAAAACCTATGGCTCTGCGCCTATAAAGGGATTTGCACCAACCACCCTTCTATGAGGTCCTCTTGACCCTTGGCCCTCCCTTCAAAGTTTTTGTGGGAATTATTTTTGCTCAAGTCTGCGCAGTGACAAACAGATCTGATGGAAAATCCTTGTCAATGCTAGTCACTTCTTGTCTGCACCAACATGAGTGAACTCGAACGGTTGACATCCCTCAGTGGTTGTGCACAGAGTGAGGCTGCTATGAGGATTAAGGACAATTGCAGGTGCCGTGATGTAAGAGTCTATCTAGACAGCAGCAGGATTAATGCCAAACGGGAACAATTTTATTCATAAATAATAACAAATGCCACAAGGTAACCTGGCAGGCAGTTTCATTGCAGAAACATTCACTGGAAAAAACAAATGCATTTCCTTGCATTCATTTGAGGCTAACTCATCTTTCATGCCGGTCGGAACATAAGGAACGGCCCTAATTGACACCACAAACGTTTTCGAGCAACGCCCACAAATAGAAAGGGAGACAGGTGCAATAGTTTCAAGCTCAACACTGAAGACAAACGCCATCAAAGGCGCAATTAGCTGTCGAAATGGAACCCGGGAAAGATTAAAGCGTTTTCGGGACATGTCGGGGAAACAAAGCTGGCATAATGTGTCGGGGCTTCCATTCAGGGTGGAGATGCGTCATCCATGTTGAGCTTGAGGGCGTTTTTGCTTGGTCTCATCTGCCCCTTGCAGAGGAACTTACAGGTCAAGTGCTTCATCACTTTTTCCGGTTTTACTGTGGCTATTGAAAGGTGGATGATGCCTTAAGGAGGTGAAGGTACAGAAATACAACAGAGTGGTATGAACATTCAAGATATTAGGACGATGTCATCAATGAGGGCGATATCATCTCAGCTGAATTTCCTTCCCCCTCGTCCCTCACCGCAGATCGTGAAGATGATGATGGTTGTGGTGGTGACCTTCGCCCTCTGCTGGCTGCCTTATCACGTCTACTTCATGGTGACGGGCCTCAACAAAGGTCTGAGTAAGTGGAAGTCCATCCAGCAGATCTACTTGGCAGTGCTGTGGCTGGCCATGATCACATTCGGAAGCTTACTGAAGCCGGGAAAAGAAATGGATTGGGGTGTGGATCTTGGATCAGGTTTCGAGCCGGCTTCAAGCGTGTTTTCCGCTGGTGTCCATTCATCCGGGTGACCAGCTACGACGAGCTGGAGCTCCAGAACAGACGGCGCCGCCCGGGCCGCCAAAGCAGCATGTGCACTCTATCACACGTGGACACCAGCATCCTGAGCAAGGACAAGAGTGTGTGCTCACATGGAAATACACGTAGGTCCAAGTCTAAAACGCAGGCTGATCACAAAGGAGGTTAGGGTTATGGTACGCTACAGTCTGTCACTTGTCAAACTTTTTGGGTCCAGAGGAGAAATATTTCCCCAAATCCCTGTCATAATCCTAACGCCAACTACCTAAATGCCGTGGGACTAAAAAAAAAATTTGCTCATTTTCAAGAAAGTGATTCTACAATAACGAGTTTATCTTTTTTGAGGGGGAAAAGTTGCAATGTTTTGAGAAGAAAGTTGACTTTATTTCAAGACAAAAAGTTGTAATCACAACGATGAGCGCCGTCAGTGTCAATTTCCGTCAACTGTTTTTTAAAATGTATATATATATTTTTTTTTATGGGAACATACAGAGTTGAGGCCATCTCTGGTTTGATCACAAAGATTGTAATGTACTGTACAGCTCTTTAAAAAAAATAGCACTAACTATGGCCAACAGATGTCAGCATTGGGTCTCTATACAAGTGCATATTATTTCGTGAAACATGAAAGTTTGGTGGGATAAAGCCACAGATTCGTTTGCATTATTGTTGTAAGTTTGCATATGATTTACTGACTAAGGTTTACGCAAAACTTTTGGTAGAATTTTGTGAGGCTGTCATTGTGAACGCCTAAAGATTGCAAGTCAAATTGTTTACCAAGTTATCAGATGTAATTGGAGTAGCTAACCGTCTTTCATATTAATTCAGTGTTCATTTGCCTTTACTGTATTGGAGCGTAAGCCTAACATATGAGGCCAAAACATTTCTTGATAATAAATCTGATATTGTTTATTGTAATACAGATTCCTTTATTGCTTGTTTTTTTGTTGAAAAAAAAAAATACATGGAAACCAGATCTTGAAAAAAAAAATTGCGTATTAAATCACAATCGCAAAATTAACAAAAAACGTGCAGGCCGACAGTACATGAAAACCGACAAGCATATTAGTAAACAGATACTTCTGATCATAGCAATCAAAACCAAACATTTTAATTACAGTCTGTCAGTTACATTGATACAGTTCTTAAAAGCAATCATACATTTTAGCGCACAAAAAGCAAAGAATCCTAAACATACTAGTGCTAGTCGTGCTCAAATGCAAACAGTGATGCGTCTAGAATTTGTCCTGCCTCGCAGTCAGTGCGTCGTCGCAGGCATCATGGTCGTTAGCATCTCAGCTTTCATGAGCTGAGATGCTAACGGGGGAGCGTCTCAAATAGGAAAAAGGACACAAGCACCATCACCAGCCACAGGGGGGCGCTGTCTGCTGGGGCCCTGCAAACACACAAAATATAGTATTGTACAGTATTTTTTCGAAACAATGCGCATCAAAGTTTGTGCACCAAGAGTTCATGCTTCCTTTCTTTCCGTTCAACGCCTCTCGAATTGAACGGAAGTAGCGTAGGGACATCTGGTGGATGCATTGTAGATTGCACCTTATAATCCACTGCGTCCAACATATGAAAAAAATTACAAAATAGGCCATTCATTGAAGGTGCGCCTCATAATGCAGTGCGCCTTTTAGTGCGAAAAATACGGTACTTTAGAAAGGGGACTTTCAGTAGACTAGACGCTATTTTCTGTTTGTTGGCTTGGGGTCCATTGAATCGAGGTTCCAACCGTACATTCATTGCAATGTGTCTGCCTTTTCCTGGCCTTACCGTGATATGTAACATTTGTGAGTAGCCTTCAGGTTGGAGTGTTTCAGAATGATCTCAGTGTAGTCGCCATTGCCTCCTTGCTTGACGTCCTCCACCGTGAACTCCTCGGCGGGGGACAAGATGGCGAGGTCCTCCGTGAGGCCGCAAAAACCCTCCAGGGTGACAAAAAAGCACGTGGTGATGTTGAAATAGACGCCATCCTCCACATCTTCCTTCATGGAGACATCCGACTGGACCGAGGTGAATCGTCCGAATCTCACTCGAGCGCCTTTTTCCACATCGTAATCCATTTCAGACATCCGGTAAACATTCTTACACGTCTTCGGCTTCACGAGGCTCATGGCGTCCGTGAGCAGGAAGTGCAAGGACTTATAGTGGAAATGATCCTCGTAGGTGCTGACGTTGACGCCCATGGTCTCCACCGCGTCGTTGAAGGCTTTCTTGAACGCTTGGCCGCCGTTAGCAAAGGCTAAGAGGGCGGCGGTGTGTTCCTTCACGCCTCCCGGGAGCAGCGTGGAACACTTTTCGCTCCATGCTTTCTGGAAGTTAATGTCTTGGCTCAGCTCTTGTTGCAGCACATCAGAGCGGATTAATTTCTCCATGGTGTCTTTGCGGCAGCCCTCGTACAAGGTGTCCACAGCGTTCGGGGCCATGTCCAGTCGTTTAACTGCACTCACCTTGAAAGGGAAGTGAAAATAAGCATTCATGTTTCGTTCATTGTGCCGCTAGCCCTGGTGTGCCTGCCTTGGCCACCGGCAGGTACTACTGTATAATATAGTCACGCGGACACTTTAAGGAGAATAAACTTCTTCGACGACTGTTAAGTAAGTTGCGGTAACATTTGTTGTTTTTTTTTTTCATAGAGGATAAAGAATACCACATAGCGGTGAGTATCTGTGTACATTTGTTGTGCCATCATTCGTCTTCAATTATCCGTTACTTAAAGGGTGGGGAAACAGTGACCGTTGATGCTAACCGTTTGCATTCCAATGGGGTTTTCCATTATGTGTTAGCACGAAGCTACTCGTCTGTTGTTAAGGCGACACATTTACGTTATTTGGTTTAAAGCTTATGTCACAGGGTTCCCACTCTTCCACTTACTTTTTATTTATGGATCTTCTAAGGACTTTTGAGGGCGAATTTAGCCATTTTTAAGGACTTTATCTCCATTCAGCAGGGGATTCACGTGGATTTAATGAGCAGAAAGCCACATATCACTGAGCTGGTATTCAAATCATTGCTGCCAAAGAAAGGGCACATCTTTATTTTTAAGGGCAATCAGCTCACCCTTTATTTGACATACTGTGTGTCAAATTGGCCCGAAGTGATCACGTGATCATCATCGGAAGTGATCGGAGACGGCGGGAAAAGCAGAGCGGGAACTAGGAAGGCATGTAGCCTGACAGCGGGGTTTGAGGGGAAGGGCGCCAGGCGCATTTTCCGACAAAATTATTAATTGGAAGGGTGAAGAAAATGACATACACAAATGAAATGAACACCTCGGGTTAATTTTTAAGGATTTTTATTGATTTTCGAAGCTTTCCCTGAAAATTAAGGACAATTAAGAACATAATTTTACTTCTTTTTATGGGTTTTTATTAACTTTAAGGACCCGTGGGAACCCTGTGTCATGAAAAGTTTGCAAATTCAAGTCACTTGTATCACAATGCAACATAATAATCGCCCAAAAAAAGTAATGTTCCGAAAATGTGATCAGAATTATGTTGGAATTTTTCCACATAAAATTAGACTGTTTTATTTGAATGTTATTATATTTGTCTTGAGTTGTTGTGATTTTCAAAAAAAAATTTACCAGTAGTTGATATTGCATGATTTTAAAACAGCATCGGGCAGAGGAATATCAAATGAAGATCCCACGCTTCGTATTAACTTGCAAATGAATTTGTGCACTCGACTTTCACATCTTTGTACCATAGTTACATAACATACTTATACTAAGCTTACTATTTGAAACTGAAACTCAATAGAATAAGTTAACCGGTAAACCGATATCAGTATGCTTTCAATATACAGTGCACTTTCAAATGCATTTTTGTTTACCAGAAACAAATTGAAGCATAATGATTTGCTTCACTTTCTGTGTTCGAAGGAGTATTTTCTGCGCTTTGTCCAACCATAACACAACGCATGTCCTCTTCTGAAACTTACCGTGCAGTAGAGCACCGTAAAGGCCAGCAGGAACTCTCTCTTCACGTCTCTCATCTTCTCTTCTTTTTAATGTCTGCAGAAAAGAAGACCAAGTGTTTTTTTTGGAAACTGTGATCGTCCGCTCAACTTTTTGTTCAAATTCTTTCAAAGTGAGCTCAGGCGAGTCTTATCGGCTCCTTTCAGAATCCCGCCACATTGATCACCTCAGCTCGCGTACACTTACCGCAGGGATGGGTAGAAATGTGCAAAGAAGCTCACCTCGGTGACAACGTAAGGGTGCGGGATTACAAAATCAAGTCCATCTAGGGTAAAAAAAAAAAAAAGGCTGGAGGCATAGGGTGTGGGAGGCACTCTGCAAAAACAGTGTGGAAGTGAAAAACAAAATTATCACCCGAGGCAACTCCTTTTTCCTTTCCTGTGGAAGGAAATAACATGCCATTGGGAGCAGTTATGTCTCTTGCTGCAGCTACTGGTTTATGCCAACAATGGCGACCTGCACTAAAAAGTGAACTACTATTTCACACTTTTCTGTCTTGCCTTTGCAGGTATATCTTTGACTTTATGTATGTACTTTTCTTTTCATTTTATTCTTAGTGCTAAATATTTACACTGGCCACTTGCCCTTATTCTAGCAGCAACATTGCACCTATTCTCCCAAAATCATTCGCAGTCAATGCAACAGAAAAAAAAATTAAACTTTTGACTCTCTGCACTCACCTGATGGGACTGGAGAATGTTGGGTTTTTTTTCAACGTTTCCCTCAAGATGAACCCTGACAACGGCACGATTCCTCCTTTTGAGAATTTTTGTCTCCTGACCTCCAGTACACTTCCTTCCTTCTGTGGCTACGGCAGCAAAGTACACAGGCCCTGCTGGGCTTCACATTTTGTGCACTTTGACGTCCGACTTTTCTGTGTGTGGGAGGAGCGGGGTCACGGCTGGATTCAGAACATCCCATCGCCTTCACATGCAAGCATGTACAGTATATATTTGCTACTTTTTTTTCCCATGCTTTACATTTCATTATTTTACATGTGTAATATTTTGTTATTTTTCTTATTCTAAATTTTTAGGTTAGTTTTGAGAATGTTAATGTCCATCGATTATCCGAATTATCCATTTTCTGATCCGCTTATCCTCACAAGGGTCGCGGGCGTGCTGGAGCCTCTCCCAGCTGTCACCAGGCAATAGGCTGGGCACACCCTGAACTGGTTGCCAGCCAATATCAGGGCACACATAGACAAACAACCATTCACACTCACACCGGTTGACAACATAAAGTGTCCAATTAACCTATCATTCATGTTTTTGGGAATATGGGGGGAAACCAGAGTAACGATAGAAAACCCACATAGGCTCAGAATCGAACCCTGCACCTCTGTATTGGAAGGCGGATGTGCTAACCAGTCGACCATGGTGCTTCTATTCAAAAATTCAAAAACCAGGGAAGATTTGGTACCAGCGCAAAAACATTTTTTTT